GGAATTTCCAAATTGCATGGCCTCGGGCGGTGCGTGATTGTGTGGTTTCGTTTACGGAGGGCCATCCCCAGTTCCAGGTGTGGTCGCTAATGAGTCGGGGTTTTCGGTTCGTTCCACCTTCACCACAGCGGCAGACAGAAGGGAGGGAGGGTTCATACTTGACGAGGTCGAATGGGAGGACAGACCCAGAACTTGTTCTCGATGAACTCGGAATCATTCCTCACGGAGGAAGTCGAATGCTCGTAGCAGATTTGTGGCAGCCTGTGGCGGATGCATTCCTCCTTCTTGTTCCGTAGTCCAGGGAGGTATCGTTGACGGGGACCCATGGTCTCTCCAGTGGCAGAGCAAGGGATAGCAGGATGGTCGACATCCTCAGGTTCGGAGCAAGGTAGGAGCGCCCCTGAAGTCGGTGACAAAGGATCCTCCACGTCTCTGCCTTCGAGTAGGCTGAGCAAAGGTTTTGGACTAACGTACCAAGTCTGTCATTTCGGATTGATCTGGTATCAACGGCAGGGCAGTAGTTTTAGTGGTGTTTGATGTGAGGATGAATGCGGTCGGCGATTTCTTAGGTGATCCGGGCAGTAGGCCAGCCGACCGCTTTGATGATTTAGACATTGACAGCGAGGCTGTGTGAGAGGGCGTGAATCGAAGTGGTAGTGCACTACGCTAAAAGCTAGTGTAAAATCTTTCGAGTGTTTTTGAGTTTGAGAGAATGAAAGTTATGAGAGGATTAGAAAGCTATGAAAAACTATCAAACGAGAGAGATCCACAATCAAAGGATCGTAGTATCTGAACTCCCGCGGGGACTGTAAGTGTGATATAGTAGGTTGCGTAGCACATCCTACCACTCCAGATCCAAAAACCGGAGATGCGTGGAAGATCCGTCTAGCATTATATCTAGTAGCGTGGAAGTACTCAGCAAGCTGTAAATACTAGAGCGATGTTTCATCATAACCTAGTATGACTAGAGCGTCCATTGAGAACCTGTCTCCAATGACTATTCGCGCAGGACTACTGTCATGAGTCGAACTCAAGACCCTATCTAGGATCGATCGCGAATAAGGCTAAGAGCCGTGTATTGCATTCGCCCTGACAGGGTCACAGGAGGCACGACATCAGTCGAACAGGAGAACATATGAATTAAGTGCGGGGCAGCTCTCCGGAAGATTGGATGTAGACATGTGCGTCGCACGAATGCAATCCTACAAGGGGATAGGCCTGTATTGGGTTGTAATACCTTGGGGACTGGAGACGGTCGGCTCAGTAAATGGCCGAGTCTCTCCACTCACCTAATCCTCTACTAGTCGTGTCTAGCTGCTCTGGGCGAGCGCAGCTTGTCTGCGCTCGTTGAATACAGGAGCAGCGTTGTTATTGTTCTTTGTTGTCATGGTTGTTGCCTACCAATTTTGGGAGTTGTTGATGGGGAGTTACTATGGATTAGAGTTGTGCTATTTGCTCTTCTCTCATCCGGATCTTGACAAACACCCTTGGGTCATTGGGTCTTGGGCTGTGTCTCGTTCAAGTGCGTTCTGCATTTTTTAAAACAGTACATTCATGGGGGAGACAGGATTTATTTGGGGGCAACAATTGGCTTAACAAACTCGCAGGAAAGGGCCCCAAACTTCAACTTTGATCTCGAATGACGAGGCAGGGTTTAGAGTAGGATTTTATCTCTGTAGAAACAGCCGAACACTTGATTCTTGGGCTTCTGAGCCCATGTTTTTACTAGCTAGCTATTAGTATTATATAAATTTGCATTCTTACCAGGTTCGCTAAATAAATAAATAAGTATTCTATTCATGCTATTCATGCAATGGAGCCAGGAGCAAGGGGCCAACCATCCATCCTCCAAGCCAAACAGTCAATGGTGCAATACCCCACCGACAGCTAGCTAGCACAGATCAATTCAGTTCAATTCAGTTGGTAGTACTGGCTAGCTGTTGGTTGTACCTTTACGGTGCATGCCTGCGCTGTCGCGGCCCTTTGCCATGAATTGGGGGGGGGGGGGTCCTTCATCTTCCTCAAAGGGTGGGTTGGCAGGTGCATGCAGGTTTCTACGTAGCTAGTGTTTCCGTTGATAAGACTCACCATCAGCCATTCGCGACGCCGGAATGTACTCCCAACCTGACAAAAAAAACTGAACGTCTAATAACGGATTCAGACGAGATGTGCTTGAGGACTACCCACGAGCTAAGGCTCGGGTATTTCCCACAGTCAAGTCTGCTCACCGGCCACACTGGCCTCCTGAGAGGGTGCGACGCCTGTTAGCTATCTAAGGATTTGTACACTGAGGTCGGATTGCTTGTGCTTTCTTTGCTTGTGACTTGGTTCTCATGTCGTGCCCATGTCTGTCTTGGTTGCGCATGTCCCAGAGTTTCCACCATTCTTTATAGATAATGTCAATGAGTCCAGTGAGCCATGTGAGTCCATTGTTGCGTTTGGTTGCGGTCTTTTTCATGTTCAAATATTGGTCTTGTTCCTGACTGAATTGTTTAGAGATTCTCCCCTTTAACAGATGATGCCATCCAATGGCATCTTGTGCTTGTTTCAGTGTGTCCCATGAAGGATCTTCTTGGATTGTTGTTGGGTTTTGGTGATGTAAACATACTTTGAGGCCTGATAGGAGAAGCCCCTGGATGTTTGGAGAGGTGTCCTTTTTCTGGACATATGCTAGGATTGCACTGTAGCATTTCTCGCGCCATTTGATTCTTTCAGGGCTGCTGCATTCCATCAGATGGTGCCTTGTTTCTGAAGGGTTGTTGCATGATGGGCATCCTGCATAATACTTGGGGTTTGTTTTATGGAGGAATGCTCCGACAGGTAGGACTTTGTTGAGGTATTTGACCATTGTTGGACGATGATTATCGTGTCTTCGCAAAGCTCTTCCATGTGCGGTCCAGTCAATGTTATTGAATCTGTCTTCTGACCAGTTGTAGTCTTTCATCAATTTCTGTTTGAGCAGTGGGTAGGTTCTGGCATGTTTCAGCTCTTGTTTGAGATTGAATGTGACTGTTCCTTGTTTCAATTCAACTTGGCATCCACTGGTGGGTAAGATGGGAACTCTGGTGAAGTCGGTGTCCGAGTGAGCTTGGAGCCATGTGTCGGCTAGCTTATCGGCATCTACATTCAGCTGAGCTTTCAGCGGGAGTTTGGTCATATGGTTTGTTGTCGTCTTGATGTCCCTTTATGTGATGTGATTGAGGGCCTGGATGCTTCGTCGAGTCTTCTAACATTGTGTGCTGATTTCTGCAATGATGTCCCACTCAAGCCCAGGTGTGGTGTTGGGGTATATTTTGTTAAATGATGTGTGCTTGGTGACTCTTCTCCGATGCTTTTGTTTCACAGAGGTGCTCATGCTGGTGAGAATCTCTTGTTTGTTGGGTGAATGAATCTTTTGGAGCTGCGCTAAGCACCTCATTGCTGAGAGGATTCCGTATCCTTCTGCTCTGTAGGAGTTGATTTTGTAACCGAAGGCTGGTCCACAGCAGCGGGCTAGGCATGTGCCATCATGTTTGCTAATGATCCATGCAAATGAGCTTTGGGGTTGGGTGATGAGCCGTCACTGGTATGATACATGGTTCCAACCTGACAAGACCATACAGATTGCTTCTTAGGGGCTGGTCAACGGTAGCGTTGTCTCTTTTTTGTTTGCCAATTGATCGGCAGACTCGACTCAACTCGACTCAAAACGTGAGAAGTTTTGTGACAGCAAAATTCGTGCTGTCGCGGATTCGAGGGGACAACTTCCATGCATGGAAACGGTCACGGCCTTGGAGCCTTTCAGGCTTTCGGGAGCATCAGAGGGAACGTGAGGGGCAGTGCGGCAAAAATAGACAAAAACGAGTATCATGATAAACTTGGTGCCATTGTCGCCTTGATCTCGATTGCTCGTTGTCCAGGTCGGCCGCTCCTGATGCTTTGAAGACAGGCAACGGTACCTTCCCCGTCCGCAAGTTCTTAGCATACCGGTACTCACTTATACAAAAGAACTAACTTTCTTTAAAGCTATACTTTCTTTAGTCTTCCTGAAACGCCTTCAGCCACTGGGAAGCTTCCAAAATCCAAGGTGATGTACCGGCTGACTATATGGAGGCTTCAGTGTGTGACTATGCATAGAAGCCTTGGATCATCTTTGACGAGCTCTCTGTGAAGCTTCGAGTTGCTAACCGGTCAGCGTAAGTGGCGCAGATGGCTTGTACTGTACCGTACCGTTGGTTGGTATTTAGTTTATTCCTTACTGCCATGAGGTCAGTAAAAGGAGCAGTAATGGCAGTAATGCAGTAATTCCTCAGTAGCAGTAATCATACAGTAATTTAAGCCAATTGGAGGCAGTAAACTCACTAATTGCAGTAATATAGGTAATTACTTGTTTTGTATATGTCATTTCTGGATATTTGTTGCAAGGCAGATTACTTACTGATGGGATTACTTACTGCAGTAACTAGGGCCAACAATGGCAGTAATTGGACAGTAAGGAGCCAGTAACCCGATTTACTGCAGTAAATACCAACCAGCCGTACCGGTACTAGTACCGTTCTCTAGCTACCTGGTACCTACTAGTAGTTACAGTAGCGAATTTCAATGACTCGACCATGTAAATCGCTTGAAAATGTGAGTGCAAACTATTGCGTACTAATGGAGAACTCTTCATGTACTAGTATTTGTTATGTCTTTAGACGTGCTTATAATTAACATTGCCGTCAATGGTGTTGGCCTCTAGCCTCTAATACCGGTACTTACTGTTACGTTAGACGGAACGACGGAACTCAAGGCACAGTATACAAGGATTTAACAGCTGAGGCCAAGTTCTTTTTTGTGTGACGAAAGTTCAATCAAGTCGGGCGGGGTGAAACCCTCCTCAATTTGAGTCGTTGGAGTCGTTGTTCTTCTTCAACAATCTCGTCCTTCAACACCTCATCCTTCTTCCACTTCCTCTCTCATCCCTCTTCCACCGGTTTCATCCTTCTTCCACCTACTCTACAATCATTCAATCATTCGAGATGACGAAAACCAAAGCAGAAACTATCACGGTCGGCGATTGGGTCAAGTGCACTGGAGGCACTGCAGCTGTTGGAGAGATTGGGAAGGTCGTCAAGGTCACTCCCAAGAGAGTTCTCCTCCTGCTGGAATCCAAGGAAACCAGACGCAAAGAGAAAAAATACGTGAAGAAAGTTCCAGCGCCACCCCAAGATGTAGACAAGGAGAACCAACCGGTAAAGCCTCCAGCTGTGCCCGACGCCAACGACATGCCTTCGTCTCTCGACAAGGCCAACGCCTATGAAAAGCCTCCGTCGCTCGGCAACGACAATGACACAGTCATCATCTCCATTCCCGACGTCCAAGACGCTGAAACGAACATA